CTCCGATGGACGAGTCCACCTCGCTTGCGTGGCACCTTGTGTGCGGCGCGGAGCGAGTGCAGTTGCTCGCGGAGCTTTGCCAGTTTGTTCGCGACCAGCTCCACCGACTCCGATGCGAAGCAAAACTTCCAACCGCACCAGATTACTTGCTGTGCAAACTGTGCTTTTTTCCAGCTGATGGGAGCATTCAGGGCTCCGAGCAGTGCCACAGTGAGTGCGGCGCCTGTTTCCGCCTCTGCCGTGCGGAGGAGAAGAAGCAGGTCGTCTACGTAGAGCCAGGCTCGATGCTGGTGCTTGCAAAGCAGTGCATGCAGGCATCGCAACATGAGGCTCCCAGTGCGTTGCCACCAGTATGCAGAGAACCGTGCCCCAAAATGACACACTGTATAATGATACAGTGCGCCGCGGTGCCTAAACAAAAGCGTTCCCTGGTCTTTTGGCAGGACTTTGCAGCATTTGTGCGCCGCCTTGAAATCAATAGAGACGGCGCAGAGCTGTGCGAAGCAGTCATCAGAGAGAAAGGAGTGCTGGACATCGGCGCCTGTGGGCAGTGCAACGCGCTCGGGAAGATGGACCGAAGGGTTGAGTCCGCACACCGAGCTGTCCAGGACTATGCGTGGCTCCTTCCCTTCTGCCAGAACGAGGTTAAGCTTCCCGATTGCCGTGCCTGCTGGCCAGTGCAGTGCGGCGTTCTGCTCTGTGCCATCGAATTTAGCCTTGCGCTATTTCCTTGTCTATGAGCTCTGCGAGGAGATCGGGATTTTGCTCTGCTCTGGTCCAGTTGCCGGTGCAGTGCTCCAAGGCTGGGCCCGAAAGGTCGTCTCCAAACTCCACACCTGGCTGTGCTTGCTATCCTTGTCGTGGATTGCGCGTGCGAGGCTTTGCAAGACATGAAGACGGAAAGGCTGCCCTTCCGAAATGTTGACGAACTGTGCCGCGTCCATGTGCGGGGCGAGCTGGACACGAACGATTTCTGCCAATGCGAGGCAATGTTCGGGGCTTAAGGGGGGGTCCTGCTTGGCTTCCCTTAAACTATCGGCTATATGTTTAACAAGGCTGTGCTTCTGCAGGTACCCAAGCAGAGCCCGGGCCAGACTAAGCAGAGGCTGTGGCTGTGCAGAGGTGTTGTTTGCCGAATGGTCTGCTGAGCTGAAAAGGCCTGCTCCGTCACAGATGGCTGGGCGGCGTGGCAAAAAACACTGCGGAAGCATGGTCTGAAAGGCTGCTAGCGATGCGTCTGTGAATCCCAGGGCCGTGCAACGCAAGCCGATACTATTCCTTAGCTTGTCTAGGTTGCCGTCGCTCGAGAGGTCTCCCAGCGCGGCGTCGGTGCTGCAGAAAATTCGCGAGCAGAAAGGCGCAGCTTGGGGAAGGACGGTGCAGTGCACAGCCAGTTCCTGGCCAAGGTGCGTGCACTCGTCTCTGTGTTGTGCCGAACCTTGCAGAGGGAAAATGAAAGCCACATGTGCTCCTTGCAAGTGTGCTGAGCGAAGCAATGAGGCAGCCCAGGCGTGTCCATCTGAGCTAAGGTGCCCGGGGTCGGCCCAGATTAGCAGCCACCCCAAAAGTCCTGCCCACGCGATGCTGGTGACCAGTGAGGCTGTGCTGGATTTCAGGTTGCCGCCCTTGGGGATGAGAACTGACTTGAAGGCGTCTGCTTCTGTGCTAGGGCTGGATTCCAGCCACTCTGTGCTAGCGAGCTGAAGGCAGAGTCTCGGTCTGCTGTGCGGGGCTTGGCTGTCCACGGGCAAAGCTGCGCCGATAGACGAGCTGTCTGAGCCCGATTCAGACTCCGAATCTTCTGATGGTACGTGAAGCGGAGGTGCCAAGCTTGCGATGGGCTCGTGTTCCGGGGCAGTGCTCGATGCAGAGGTCTGTGCCGGTAAGTGCTGGGAAACCTGCCTGCAGGGCGGATCGGTGCGTGGCCTGACTGAGTCGCGGTCTTCTAGTCAGGACGACGCCGGCTCAGGCGGGCTCTTGTGCTTGCAAGCGGGATGGCTGCGCCCGCAGGGCTCGCCGTTCGGAAGCTTCAGTGCGCATGCGTGCAGGTATTTGCACTGTGCGTTGCGGCATGTGCCTTTGTTCCACCTGATGCAAAACGTGCGGTCGCCGTGCTGGGAGACGAGGTCTCCCGCTTTAATTTCCTTGGCGGTGCTGTCCCCGGGCGTCTTGCGTTTGAGGGTGGGCGTGGCGTTGCCCTTCCCTGTCTTGCCATCTGTCTTGCCTTTGCCAGTGCCTTTGGGGTCTTTGCGGGGCGGCCGGGTAGGCGGTGGAGGCGGCTTAGCGCGGAGCTGCAACAGGTTTGCCACATCGGCTCTGACCATGGTGAGCTCGTGCAGGGCGTCGTCAAGCGTCCAACCGTCCAACCTGTGCCGTGCAGCATGGCAATCTCATGCCAGATCTTGCGGTCTGCGGCGACTAGCTCTGTGGTTGTGACCGTGCGAAGCGATGGATCCGAAGGGCTTTGCGTTGCTGCGTCCAACACCTTTTTGTCCAGTGCCTTGAGCCGGGCTAGGTGCGCGCCCTTGCACAGTGCGATGGCATTGCGGAAGACGGTCTGGATTCTGCTGAGCCATGCGGGGCTGAGCCTGAGGTGCTCCACAGGCATTTCAGGAGTCTCATCAAACAGTGCGGTGCTAAGAAACTGTGCTTCAGTGCGTAGCATCTTAGAGGATTTAGACTCTATTATCTCTTGGTATTGCTTATGCGACAAGCGGAGCTGCCAGGGCACCCATGTGATGGTGCCTTGCGGTGCGAACCACTTATGTACGATGCTGAGCAGTCTGACGCTAGGCATTGCGTCGCTATCCAGAAACTCGCCTGGGCAGTTCGCCTTAAAATCTTTGGTGAGCTGTGCAATGACCGATGCGTCCAGGCGAGGCGGTGCGTGCTCAGCCCAGGAGTTGATTTGCGGCTGTGCCGGAGGCCGGGCAATGCTAGGCTGAGGCGTAGCGTCCTCCGCCAAGGAAACGGCTTGAGCCCGGACGTGCGCCCGACGCAGTCTGGCCATGGCGGGGCTGTGCGCAGGGTCGTCAACCTGCAAGTCTTGCCACAGTTGAGCATAATCCTCGGAGCAAAAGCAGTCAAGCTCCGATGCTTTGCTAAAGGCGTACGCAAAGTCCGGTACTGAGGTTAGGCCCTTCTCTGCCAGTGCTGCGCAGAGGCTGTCTGGAACCTGAAAGGAACTTAGAAGCTCCTGCAGCGCGTTGCTGTTGCCTTCCGATGCAAAGGCCATGGCGGCAAAAATGAGTCAAAACTGTCACTTAGGTGAGATTGCTAAGAAACGGCTGCGGCGCAGGTGCAGGTGAGCCTAAAAAACAGAACAAGACAACAACACGGTCAAGGGGGCACGCATCGGATGATTGCGAGTCCGGTGACCCGATCGCGTCCGGGCGGTGCAAATGTTCCCAACCTCGGTGAGCAAGGCACGAGTGCTGCTTGGGGCGCAAGCTAGGGCAGAGGCAATCATCGTCCTTTTTGCGACTGGCTTTAGGGAGCTTCCCGCGCCGCCCTGACTCCAACGCAGGCTTTACGTTTGCAGAAAGGGGCGTGCGGGCGCTCAGAGTACTGTCCTGCAATGCCAAGTGCAATGCCGCATGCTGTGCGGGGCTGTGTACTCATGGCATCAGAGCGGACAGCGTGCCAGCGCCCCCAAGGGCCATTGCGTGCGTATTTGCAGGCCGATCCAGGCATGCGAAGCTCTAGCGGCGCCTGGTCTCCTTCCGAGTCCAATGAAGACACCGACGATTGCGCTGAGCTGTCCGATGCTTGCCTGGCCAGAGCCGCTTCTTCGACCATTTCGGCTTCCACATCGATGGGGGTGGGCTGTGGAGGCGGGGAAGGCTGCGATTCTTCTAACTGCGTGCTTAGAACCTCAGGCTGTGCTTGCTGGGCGAGCGCGGCCTCCGCTGCCTGCAGCTGTTCATGCCTGGTAGTAAAGTACGACCAGGCGCCCGCCAGCAAATCCGCGGCCGAGAGCGATTGCAGGACCGGGCCAGGCGGCAATGCAAAAGGTGGTTCGGGCACGGGGGCCTGGCCACCTCTGCTCATGCTGCGCTCGGGGCGCCATCCCTCAGCCATTGCGGTGCAGAGCTTCGCCTGCACATCTATGCTGGCGAAGGTGTCGTTGCGACTGTAAAGTGCAGCCGAATCTCGATGATGGCCCTGAAGGAGCCGGGCTTCCTTGTCTATGCGTAGCTGTGCTGCTGCGGCTAAGCAAGTAGATTTCAGGCTGTGCAAGGTGAGTTGCTTGGCTTCTGCCGGCAAAAGTCCCTGGCCAGGCGGCAGCCAGGGGAGCGTCGCCGCCCAGCGCATCGTGAGCATTGCGCTGCAATACGACGCCGGCGCAAGCTCTGGCAGGGCGCTGAGCTCCGGGGCCGCGTTTGGCCACAAGAAGTCAAAGGTGTCCGGGCATCCGAAAGCCTGGGCCTGACTGTGCAGAGCAGCTAACCAGTGCAGAGTCCAACAGGATTGTGCACTGCGTCCCGTGAGCCCTGCCACGGAGACTGCAAAGGGCTGGCCAGTGCTCGTAGTTTTCGTGGCAAAGCAGATGCCATGCAGTGCTGCGCGGGAAAGCGAGAGACTGGAGAAGTCTATATGCTGAACATCTCCAAAGCGAATGCTAGCGTGAATGCACAGCAGAGCGGCCCCCAGGGCAAGTGTAGTGGTAACCGGCGTGGCGGAGCCGCAGACACGCATTTCCCAAGCTGCTACCAAGCACCAGGGCACAGGCAGTGCTTCCCTGCGATCTTTAGCAGTGCCGCGCGCTGCGTAGGCCGATATCACCGGCCTATGCAGTGCGGAGTCTAGACTGCACCATTGCGAGTGCTTGGCGAGCCAACGTAAGGCTTTTATGGACGAGTTGGCTGACATTTGATGAATCTCACGATCCTGGGTACTCGAGGCCCGTGCTGCAGCCAAAAAATCCAAGAGCCCGGCGAGGCTGACCGCATGAAGATCCAGCGCTGAGCTTTGCATGAAAGAAAGGAAAAGCGTAGCCGCGCGAAGGTACCTTTCCAAGGTGCTAGGTCTAAAGTTAATGAGCACCGCCAACATGTGTTCGGTCGAGTCTTTGCATGGCTGCAATGCTACCCAGAGCTTCGATGCCGAGTGAAGTTTGTGAAGAAGTTGGCACCAAGCTGTGCCACAGGCTTGGTGTCGCAGCATTGCCGACTGTCTCGTGCTGTTGACCTTGACCCGGAGAGGCCTGGGTGGGAGAAGCATCGGCAAAGGCATGGCGGGCAGCGAAGGGCCTTCGACCGGCGCGGCGGCGCAAGCTGTCTTGGCCGCCGGTATCTGTGCGGCCTGCATGCTGCGGGGCCTCGCTGGGCGAGGCGGGGTGCTGAGACCTCCCAGAGGGGGTGCGACAGGTGAGCGAGAACGCTTAGGCGGGGGTGGTGGGTCCAGGGGACTGTCCAACGCATTGCTTGGGAAAAAACCTCTCCGAAGAGCCGAAGTGCCTGGCTGAGTCGGCGGCCTTGCTAGATCTGCCACTGTTGGGAGGTCCCCGTGCGGGCTGAGCTTAAGCCGATGTCCTGGAGGGGAAGCTTTAGAAACAGTGCTATGCGGATTCGAGTGCAGAGGCTTGGGTGAGCTCTGCAGCGGTGCTTTGCGAAAGTACCAATGCAAGTCTGAATCGCCAGTCAGATCGACTATCTCCGTGGCCGCACTTTGCTGAGAGGCGCCCACCAGCTGAAAGGAAGAGTCCAGTGATGCAGATGCTGAGCCAGTGGCCGGCTGCCTGGCATCTGAGCCGTGCGACGCTGTCGCGAGACCATCCGACAAGTGCGAGTCAGGGCTGAGCGGGGCGTGCGGTGCCGGTTGTGATCTTTGGGCCGCCTGGGCCGCCCAACGCCTACGCATGATGGCTAGAGGAGCCAGAGCTGCGCAAAGCCATGCCAACGAAACCCACACAAGCGCAGCAAAAAAACGCGGTGCAAGTACCTGAGCACGGCAGGGCTGAGCGAAACGAGCAAAGAGAAAGAGCAAGCGAGCTGACAACCAACCTGCTGTGCGGCAGTGGCGGGCGCCGTCCTGACAGTAGTGCCGCGAAAGTGAAAGCACAAAGGTCTAGAAGAAAGGCAGCGCGAGCCAGGCCGGGCGATTTTTTGCAAAGGCCACGGCGTGTGACAGCAAGCATGTGCTGAATTTGCCATGCTGGGGCTCGGCTGGGCAGTGCATAGCCCAAAGATCTGTAGGCCTCGAGGACCTAGATAGGCAGAAGCTTGGGAGTAACACTGGCGGGGCCATGCATTGCCACTTCCGAGCCGTGCAAAAAACCAGCTTGAATAAAGCACCAAGCTGTGCTGAGCCAAGGCGCGGCTGTGCAGTGCTAGAAGCCGTGCTGCTTGCATTTGGAGCAGCGGTGCGGTGCATGATAATCTCTGCTCCAGGGCATCACCAACTGCTTTTGGCAGGGCGGGTGCCCATCAGCGCAATTTTCTACTTCGCAGCGCGCTGCACACACATAACGACCGGTGCTGCTGTGCTTAAACACAGGCCGTGCAAGCCGGACTTTCTCCGATGCCTCAAGCCATGCGATGCCCTGCGGGGGGTTTCCATGGCGGCTGGGCTGGCGAGGCCGTGCAGGTGCTGGGCGGGGCTCCTCGTGCGGGGGAGGGATTGGGGGGAAAGCAGCGCCGGCAGGGCGTGCGTTGACCCATGCCGCGCCGCGCGGGCGGTGCGGTGCCTGGCTGCCGCGCGGCCCGTCGGCGTAGCGCTGAGCACGGTAACCTTGGATATCAGCCTCGGCGCGGTGCCATGCGTCGTCGTGCTCGTCTTCCATATCCGCCCAAAGGCGGTCAGAGCTGTGCCGGGCGCGGTCGAAGTCGTCGTAGTGCCAACGTTGCAAACCAGTGCGGTGCTGCCCCGGCGGGGTGCGATAGCCACCTCCACGCTCTTGGCGTCGCGATGCAGAGTGCCACTGGTAATCTGCGTCGTCCTCGTCATCGCGGGGCATGTGCTGTGCTGGGGCAGGGCTTGGAGCAGGCTGGGCAGTGCTCGGTGCAGGTCCCTGTGCTGGTGCAGGTGCCGGGGCGCGGTGCGCGTCGTTGAGATCTGAGTGCCGTGCCTCCAGCTCTGCCACACTCAAATTGCGCAGTGCTTGCACCGGGCATCGCTGTCCTCTGCCATGATCACCTGCAATGCCGTGGCAAGAGTCCAAGTCATTGCTGAGCTGGGCGATGCGAGAGTCGGACAGAAAACTGAAATTGAGATCACAATGCTGCTGAAGCACAGAGCAATGCAGAACGTGCGGTGCATTAACAAGGCAACACAGTGCAAGCTCAGTGCTCTAGGCGGGGTCCTGCGAGGATACCAGTGGCCGGGCGGAGCCGCATAAGTCACCGCGAAGCGTCGCAACCTGAACCACCAAAGGAGGGTCAGAAGCGAAGAACCTAGCCGTGCCGAGCCTTGTAGAGGAAGGAGAGCATGTAGACCTGAGCGTGGCGGGAGCAAAGCGTGCCCCGAGGCTAAAGACAAGCGGTTCTGGGAAGCACACGCGGCGCGGCCACGATTCTTCTGCCCCGCCGAGCCTGACGGAGCCGGGCAATTGCGTGCATGGCTCAGCGGCGAGACCAGGCCTTGCGGTGCTTTGCGGTATGGTCCAGAGCCAAGCGTGGCAAGACCTGCAAAGCGAATGTGGTTACCCTGCAAAACCCAAGGAAACTTTGCAGTGCAAACTGACAGGAACCGAACCTTTTGCGGGGCTGTGCGGTGCTAATCCAAAAAATCCACCAAAGCGCGGGGATTATCTTCGTCGCCAGGCTGTGGCTGAGCAATGCAGATAATGACAGGTAGTTCAAAGCCCCGGCGCCAGAGCAGTGCTGGGCGACCGTCAAGCACAGCGAAATTTGGTCTCGCCTGTGCCGTGCGAATCTCAAAAAGTGCAAAACCAGACGTGCAGCGCGTGGCCCGAATATCTGCATGGTTAAGAAAGCGTACCACCCTATACAGTGCACGAAGATCACGGAGAACGTGCTGCAAAGCAGTGCGGTGCCGTGCTTCTGGTTCGCCTTCAGGCTCCGGTGCAGTGCGAGACAAGGCGAGTGTTTCGCGGCAGTGCTCATCCCACAAGACAATGCTGTGCCACAAAATAACCACGCGCTTGAGGAGGCGAACCCTCTCCACTCGCCAAGTGCTGAGCAGCTCTGCGAGGCGGCTGGCAGCGCAGGCGCGGCGTTCCGATGCAGCAAGCTGTCGAACAGTGCCTAAGCAAACCAAGTCCGGGGCGAGCACGGTGGGGAGCATTGCCAGTGCGGCGCTTTCCTGTGCCTGAACCAAACGCCCGTGGGGGCTATCTGACAAATACCAGACGTTGAAAAAGAAACGCAATGCAGTGCGGCGGTGCACGCCAGAGGCCAGCCAGAGCGCGGCTGTGCTAGAAGGATCCATGGCCGACCCGAGGCGGTGCGAGGCTATGCGTTTGGGAACATGGTGTATCTAATGAACTGCTTATCGCGCTCTCCTAAGTCCCAGAAGAAAGCTCCATGGCCATGCGTGGCTGAAGATGCGTGAAGAAGGCTGCGATCCTCCAAAGGCAAATGGCAGAGCAGGAAGCCGGCAGGGCGAACCAATGCAAGCAAAGCCGGCAGCTCTACCACCCAAGATGTGGACGGTGCATAAAAGTGCTGGAATGAAGCAAGCTTGGCCTCTACCAACACGTGGTGCTGATATTCGGGTGCAGGGCGTTTGCGCGGCATCGCCTTGCCCAAGCGAGGCATGGCAAGCAAATTGAGGCTAGTCCAACTCCTGCAAGAAAGAAGACTCTTGGGAATCCGTGGTCTGCGGAGATCCTTCAAGCAGTGCTAAGCGGCGCTCAAAAGCAGAGCGCATGTTCATAAGGTTTTGCATGCGGAGCGACAGCTGATCTATACGCACGTGAAGCACTGCGTCGCTCTCTAGAGTATCGGAGGCAAGAGACTGCAGGGCTCCGAACAAGCGCTCTGAGCGAGGCGAGTCTGGGGCGACCACCGGCGGCGCAGCATCCATGGCTCACAGGAGAAACGGCTGCGGTGCTGTGCGAAGCAGAAGAAGAAAAAAGAATGCTGGATCTGGGCCGCGAGCCTCAGATCTATATGGTGTTTCCCTAGGGTTCGAGCACAATGCATTGCGGAGCGTTGGCAAGTTCATGCTACCCTAGGAAAACACCGCTGACTTAACATACAAACACACAGCGAGCAGAACTTGACATGAAACAGCATACATGGAAAATTTGCCACCTCGCCGTCTGCCCAGCAATGCTAAGGTATATGCCCGTAGGACTCATCCCTGTAGGTCCAGGTGTTGCCAGGGTTCACCTGGGCCCTGGCCAACTCGAATTAACAGCTGATGGGCTTTAGGTTTGAC